TCTCATTGGCTCCTAGGTCTGGGAAAGGCATAGAAAAGACCTGCCTACATTAATGGAAATTCTTTACAGATGCAATTTTTCTTCCACAAAAGACAGCTTTGCAAGTCCACTTATATTTTCTGGCCCTGTGGCAGACATTTCAAAATCCATCAGAGAAATACATTTGGGGGTAAAATATTTTTTATTTCCTTCAGTGGCAAAAAACAAAGAAGCAAAACTCCCCCCTTCCCCAATTCCTCCGTTGAATCTCTGGAGAGCAACTGAGTATATCATACTTTATTTCTCTATAGTTGTGGTTCTTACTGCACAATTCGATAAGATGAATTGTTTCTTGAACATTCTGGTGCCACTAATCTTCCCTTATAGAAACAACCTAAAGAGAAAGAAGCTGCTCAACTACATTCTCTTTAGTCAATCATTTCTGCCCCTTGGAAAAATTCATAACCATTAAATGGGCTCCAAGCAGTGCCACAAAGTTTTCTGTTTATTGTGCAAGAGATAAATTAGTTCAGCTTCACAATAATGTATGTCTATTGTAGAATATGATTCATTTTCTAGCACTGAAAGGAATCCTATTTATTCTATATTTATTTCAAATGCTGGGATTTTTATTGATTGTGAAACTAGAGTTCATTCCCTGCAAAAATGGAAGGTAGTCAGTCAGATGGGTAGGTGAAGTCAATTAGAGAGGGATCACTGCTGATTCTCTTTGCCCTTTCTGAGCTATATACCATTTTGTAAAGTGGGATTGCCTAAAGGTCAGGGTCACCTAGGAGACTATGGTGGCATTTCTCTTACAATTTTCTTTCGTTCTTTGATCACTACAGGCTATAAGTTTTCAGTTGCAAAAATGTGTATGTACAGAAGGATTCTTTTATCTCACTCTATCTCCCTGACAACCAGATATTTGCCTGCTGTGATAGGTCAGAGGTTCTTAAAAGGCATGGAATACATCTCATCTCTTTTAAAGGTTTCAAAATTCTCCTTTTGTGTCTGGCTTGAAAAGGAGTTACCAGTAGAGAGTCAAGATTATCCAGCTAACAGTAGTGTGTAATCAAGTAGGGAAAAAAAATTAAGATCTTATCTAGAAAGAATTTGCCAAATCATATAGGTAATCGGAAGTATTTCCACATGTGAGAAAATAGAGAGGGAAATGGGGAATGATTGGTAGTAACGTTTACATTCTAAGATAGAAGTTAATTTTTGCCTAAAAAAGGGGAGTTAGTATGAGCCAGATCAGCTCAATTTGCTTTCTAGGCAAAAGGAACCCTAAGGTGATAAAAATCAAAGTATTCTTATACTATAAGTTAAGGATATCTATCATAGACAACTTACGTTGTTTAACACTTATAGAGCATTTAGAGTTTGGAAAAACAGAAAATATATTTTTATACGTTCCTTAATTTGAATTAGCTAGTGCACGCTTCTATCTTATACATCATTCTCTCTCTTACAGCTTCTAACATATTCAATTTCTTTTAAACACATGTAGTTATAGAGAACTTGGTACTTCTTCAAACTCATTCATTAAGCAAGATGGCAATATTCTTTAATTTTTTGAATGAATTGAAAGGCAAGTCTTATTTATGTTTTCATTTTCCCATCCTCACAGTATGCATTTCAAGCCTTGCCACCTCGTAAAACATCTACATGTGTGTGTGTGTGTGTTTAAATTCACTATAGAATGATTTTATTTATTAGAGGATTTCTCCTTTTTCTAACCTAAATTACTCTTCTTAATAACTCAAATTTCTATTAATTTACCACTCAGAGGCATAAAGAATAATCCTAAGTAATATCAACATAATGACCCTTCAAGTATTTGAAAATGTGTGTCTTTCCTTGCCTTGATCTTCTTCATTCCATCTAAACACACTCAGTAATTGTAATGGTTTCTTATTTTTGACTTTGGTAATATTTTATCATTCTAGTCTTGCAACAAGTTGTCTTTTCTTGAGTCTGATTTCTTTAACAAAACACAGTATTCAAGCTTTAGGCTGATCAAAGGAGCATCATTGGGCGATCCTCTCTCTTTTTTTCAGATAAAACATTTCTAGACATCTGCATCACCCGTTTCTTTTAAGGGGTCACACCTCTCAAGTAAAATATCTCTTAATGAGCTCAATGTCAAGTGATTAGGGACCCTAATTATATCTGCACAACTTATGTTGCCATAAAACTTAATAAGTTTATGTGAGTGAGATATCATTTAATTTACAGGCCTCTCACACAATCAATGGCAGAGTCATTGCACACAGAGTATAGGTCTTTGGGGGCAGGAATATTGGGAGCATCTTAGAATTCTGCCTGCTGCAACTATCATTTTTTCAAATTCCTCAAAATATCTATAACCATAGCTATCCGTTTCCACTCAACATTATCTGGAAGCGTGAGGAGCCCTGGAAGAGCCCAGGCAGCTATTCTCTTATAATTTATGCCAAAAATTGCTTATTTCCCTTTGAAATGAGAAAATCCTTTGGCATTTAACATTTCATTTAGTTTTTTGTGACCTGGGCTTCAACAAAGTAAGAACAGAGAAAGTGGTGCTGTAATACCCCAATGGGCTCTTCCTGCCCATTGCACAGACAAAACCAATTCACTGAGACCACGGGACTGCAGTAAAGAGCTTACCTGACACTAGGCTAGCCATGCAGAAGATAGAGTTGTTACTCAGATCGGCCCAGAGGTTAAGGTTTTTCAAGGATAGTTTGATGGGCAAGGGACTAGCAAATGGGTGCTGCTGATTGGTTGGGGATGACATCGTAAGGGTGTAAAATATAGTCCCCCCATGCTGAGTCCATCTCTGGGCAGGGAGCCATAGGACTCTTTGAGTCATATGCCACAAATCTGGGTGGGATTAGAGTGAAAAACATCTCAAAAGACCAATCTTACATTCTGCAATAGTGATGTAATCTGTAGGGGCAATTAGGGAAGTTACAAATCTTGTGACCTCTAATCACATGATTCTTGAGCAGTAACAGATTATAGAAACTACCTATGTTTTAGCAGAATTCAGGCCACTGTCATAATCCTAATCTTGTGGCCTTTCTTTAGTTTTACAGACATGGTTTTGGCCCAGGAACAAGGAGGGGATCAGTTATAGGGAGGGACTATCATCATCCTTGGTTCAAAGTTAAAGTATATAGTAATCAAAGGCCATATGATCAGCCATCGCATCTTATGCGTACTATTCTTTGCTTATATAGGTATTAAGAGAAATCAAAATTTCTAACAGGGGAAACATGAAAATGAAAGGAGATCAGTATTATAAGTTAACAGGTATGAGGTGAGCAAATTAAAATATAGAAAGGTAAAAAGAAAGTATTGATTACAAAGCAGGTAAAGACATGAATAAAAGTACGATAAATAAAAGGAATACCTATAGGGAATTAATAAATATAGTTCCTGCTGCATAAAAAAGTACGGTGAAAGAGAATGATGTCATATTCAAGTGAAATTGCTATTTTGTTACAATAAATTCCATGAAATTGTGAGAGTTTTTGAAGATTTAAAACTGATTTTTTTTCGTTTTTGTTCCTCAGAGGAAATGCATAAAACAATCATATCTTAGAAGGAGAAAAATATCCTTCCTTTATTTTCCCCAGGTGTACTACAGTAAAGAAACAGGTACTGACGCTACAATTAGCAACTCATTGGAATCAGACTTGAGGGAATTCCTTTAGAAAACAGAAATTTTTAAAGGTCCTAGAAAATCACTATGTTAATGTTAAATTCGTGCTGTCTCAGATTTTCTTAGATGATGAGAGGCCAGTGCCATTGACCTTAAAATTATCACTTAAACAAAGCACCACAGCAGCACCATATTTCAGGAATAGTATATTTTCAGTTATTGCAGACATAAAATTAATGTTTACAGTGAGGGTGCAAGTAAGCAGTGATAAGCTAAAATTGAGCATCCGTGACTCCATAGAAAATGACTTCCTATATTATATTATGTTTCACAGCCTTTTCTAATTTGGTCATATATATTGATACTGAAAGCCCCAATTCTTGGTAATGTGTATTGATGATGTGTTACAGTGCCCATAATTTATATATACGGTTCTGAGAACACACAAAAAGCAAAACTATTTTTAAATTAGCAATATGTATGCTTTTAAATACTGATACAGACATTTACTAGTAAAAAAAAGAAAAGATGTAGACATCCAAAAGTGTTTAATATAAGATGCCATAAAATAAGACAACAAAATATGGAGTTTTCATGGGACCACTTTTCCAATACCAAATTTGCAGCTAGAATCTGGAATATCTTCAATGATCCTATTTCATTTTTATTCAGTTTTTTTTAATCATTGCTTTGTTCCACTAGATGTCAGTATTGGATAAGAGCAGAGAAATGCTTCCCTGAACATCTGTTCTCTTGCTGTTTTAACTTTGCTCACGTAAAATGATTAAACCCTACCTAGCATGTATGTCTGCATGTAAATGATGTGATTTTTAAGAAAAAAAAAAAAAACATTTGCAACTGATGATCTTTACAAGTTACCCAGAAACTTCTACATGGAGGTGATTCTTTTCTTAAAATGTTTACCTTGCGCCTGTAATCCCAGCACTTTGGGAGGCCGAGGTGGGTGGATCACCTGAGGTCAGGAATTCGAGACCAGCCTGGCCAACATGTTGAAGCCCTGTCTCTACTAAAAACACAAAAATTAGCCGGGCATGGTGGCGCGCGCCTGTAATCCCAGCTACTCGGGAGACTGAGGCAGGAGAATCGCTTGAACCCCGGAGGAGGCGGAAGTTGCAGTGAGCCGAGATCGCGCCACTGAGCTCCAGCCTGGGCGAGAGGAAGAGACTTTCAAAAAAATAAAAAAATAAAAATTCCTTGTACTGCCCTTACCCACTAATTATGAAGAAAAATGAAAATTTTAAACCAATACAATTGGTAATAACTTGCAAATTGCTCTGAAGTAATGTTGACCCTTTCTGTCACATTCTACATAAATGTACTCCTTATTCTTAATTTGTCCTCGCTACAGCCTTTAGATTTTGAAACAAAGAAGGCATACACTTTCAAAGTTGAGGCTTCCAACCTTCACCTTGACCACCGGTTTCACTCGGCGGGCCCGTTTAAAGACACAGCGACGGTGAAGATCAGCGTGCTGGACGTAGATGAGCCGCCGGTTTTCAGCAAGCCGCTCTACACCATGGAGGTTTACGAAGACACTCCGGTCGGGACGATCATTGGCGCTGTCACTGCTCAAGACCTGGATGTAGGCAGCAGTGCTGTTAGGTGAGAAAAGGAAACATTTTCTTTTCTACGTCTCAGGAAAACAAAACAAAACAAGAACAAAAACAAGAAAACCAATTATCTGTCCAAAACTGCATGATGATTTAATTATAGAATATGATGCTTGAAAACATAAAACTTTACATAAGAATAGAGGAAGTGATATAGGATTTTGGGGGAAAACACATTATCAACTATTGCAACAATGTTTACTAGTGGCGTTACAACCACTAGAGGTCTGATTCTCCTGTCACTCAAGGTAACAAATCTCAACTCTTCATGTAGAAATGGGATTTAATAATATAACCTTTTAGAGAATGATTCTCATAATTAGTGATATTAAGATACTTTGGAAGTGCCTAGAGTATAATAGACATTTAATACATTTTATAATTAGTCTAAACTTTCTGACCCCTTACACAAAGTTAGTGTTTGAAAAAGTTATTGCAATTTGCATGTCATTTTTCCAGTGTGTAAAACATGTCTGCTGGGTTTGAGGTGAAATGAGTAGAGGCACAGTTAGAGTCAGTCGTAGAGTAAAATGAATTTATAAAATTGCTCAAAGCACACACTTTGCAAGGAACTGCTTCCTGCTCATCTCTCTCCCACTCTCTCAACACATAAATTCCACTAGTACTATCAAGACAATGCAATTTCCCTTTTCCTCACTTATACATTGACCCAGCAGTATGTTTTGAGACTTTTTTTCCCCCATTCATTCTATTGTATGCTTGAATTTTCTGCTGCATGCCTACAGCTGTTGGGAAACGGATTAAAAGACAAGTATGAGATTTGTTTCTGAATCTTCTGTCCCTAAATGATTGAAGCTTGATATGCAAGAACCAAAATAAGAAAACATTAAGTAGGTTTTTAAAGCAAAACACTCTCTTCTATTGACATACAATAGACAAATATCTTGTAAGATTTTACACCATGTGGTAAGTAAAGATTAAAACAATGGATCAAGTTTTCAGTGGTATCCTTAACACAGTAATTGCATATAGTGAAATCTCACGAAATGGCTTGAGAGCATAGGCAACTTGCTCTTTGAATTTATCTGAATCCATCACCTGTAGTTACATGAATACTACCTCAGTCAGCTCTAGCTGCTATAATCCATTAATGCATACTGGATGTATTAGTCTGCTTTCACACTGCTATAAAGAACTGCCCTGAGACTGGGTAATCTAAAAAGTAAAGAGGTTTAATTGAATCGCAGTTCCACACGGCTGGGGAGGCCTCGGAAAACTTACAATCATGGCGGAAAAGGAAGCAGGCGAATCTTACATGGCGGCAGGCAAAAGACAACGTGTGAAGGAGGAACCGTCAAACACTTATACAATAATCAGATCTTGTGAGAGCGCACTCACTATCATGAGAAAAGCATGGGGGAACCACCTCCGTGAGTCAATCACCTACTAACTAGGACCCTCCTTCAACATGTAGGGATTATAATTCAAGATGAGATTTTGGTGGAGACACAGAGCCAAACCATATCGCTGAGTGACTTAAGCTACAAACACAGTTCTGGAGGCTAGACAGTCCAAGATCAAGGGACCAGCTGATCTGGCGTCTGGTGAGGACCTGCTTCCTTTTCAGCAGGTGGTCATCTTCTCCTTGTTTCCAGACACTGGAGAAAGAGAAAGAGAGCTCTCTCTATAGTCCCTTTTGTAATGGTAAAAATAACTTCATGAGGGCTCCATCCTGATGAACTAATTACCTCCCAAATGCCCCATCTTTTAATACTATCACATTGAGGTTTAAGATTGCCAGATGTGAATTTGGGGGAATACATATCAGCTCATAAGATTCCAATTCTGCCCACCCCAAATTTATGCCTTTTTTACATGCAAAGTGCATCCATCCTAAGAGCCCCAAAACTCTCAACTTCTTCCAGTATTAACTCAAATCCAAAGTGTCATCTAAATATTATCTAAAGCAAACAAATGTGAGACAAAAGATACAGTTTATCCTGAGGCCACATTCCTCTCCAGCTGTGAATCTGTGAAACCAAATAAGTTACGTGTTTCCAAAATACAATGGTGAAGATATTCGTATTCCAAGAGGGAGAAAGAGGAAAGAAGAGAGGGGTGAGACGTCCAATGTAAGTCCAAAACCTAACAGTGGAAACTCCATCAAACCTTAGTGTCAAACATAATTTTTCTCTAGATCAATTCTTCACTTTGCAGGTCCACTAGAATGGATGTCCCACTTTTGGACTCACTATGGTGGCAGCATAACCTCCCACACTCAGAGGGGCACCACCCAGGCTGTGGCTCTCTGCAGTAGCCTCACTCATGTGCAGTGGTCACACCCTCAGTGCTCCACTGGGCGACTCTACCCCAATGTCTCTTCTAGGCATTGAGCCCAATGTTTGAAATCATTATGGAAGCAGCCATTCCACAAGCCTGGTGACATCAAATCACTATTGGGGTGATTTGGAATTCTTCCCTCGATTTGGAGAATTATGAATGCTCACAGCTGAAGAGTTATGTGATGCTGTTTAACGGAGCTGAAGAAGTTTGATGATCTTCTTTCATTTTACCGCATTTCTCTTTCCTGCGGTACCAGCTGGCAGTGTTTCTGCTATTATAATCTCATCTGTTTTCCTGGCTTTTTCTGAAATAGTGGATGAAGTTCATGGTTCGCACCTATACAAATCTTCTTATTAAGTAATTGGTCTATCTATCAACCCTTAATGTTCTCTTCTAAACACACTTTCTCATTATTTTGGAACACAGATGGGTTGAGATATTTCCAAGTTCTTAAGCTTTGGTTTCTTTTTACTTAAAAAATTCATCTTTGTTTAATTTCTTTTATTTCACATTTTACTGTAAGGAGTTGTGAGGAACCAAGCTACTCCTTTAACACTTTGCTTAAAAATCTCCCCAGCTAAATATCTAATTTCATCACTCTAAAGTCCTTCTTTACACAAAATACTAGAACATGAACACCACCCACCTAAGTGCTTTGCCACTTTATGACAAATACTATCTTTCCTCTAGTTTCTAATAACATGTCTTTATTTCTCTCTGATAACATATCAGAATGACTTTTACATCCATATATCTACCAACATTCTGTTTAGGATTGTTTAGATGTTCTTTGGGAAGACAGAGTCTTTCTCTACAGTTCTCTTTTCTCTCTGAACCTTTAACAGAATATCCTTGAACATTCATAATTTTAGCACTTCAAAACTCTTCCAGCCTGTACCCATTACCCAGTTTCATAGCCACTTCTACATTTTTAGGTATTTTTTATAGCTGCACCCCTACTGCTTGGTACCAATTTCTGTCTTAGTCACTTAAGGCTGCTATAACAAATTACGGTAGATGGAGTAGCTTCAGCAACAAATATACATGTCTCTTGTTTCTGGAAGCTGGAAAGGTTATGATCAATGTGCCAAGAGATGCATTTTCTAATAAAGGCCTGGTTTCTATTCTGCAGAAAGTCATGTTCTTGTATCCACACAGCAGAAAGAGAAAGAGAGCTGTCTGGTGTCTCGGTTAGAAGGGCACTAATCCTATTTATGAGGACTCCACCCTCATGACCTCATTACCCCCACAAAGGCCCATATCCATATATCATGCATTGGACATTAGGATTTCAACATATGAATTTTGGGGAAACATAAACATTCAGTCCATAACAAATGCTTTTATTCTTGAAGAGAAACTGTAATCAGGAGAAAACTCTAAAAAAACTCATCTGTCTTTTAAAAAGAAGTAAGTATAACAATTACTGAACATCCCTACATTTCAGACTGAATGCTAAACAGTTTACTCACTGGATTCAAACTATTGTTTTACATGTCTATATTACAACATGATTCACTTCCAGTTAAGTTCCAGAAAACCATATATGATTTATAAGGCTATATGCAGACACATACACACACACAGACACACACACACACACACACATCCACATATACATTCAGTATTTGTTGAGGTATTCTCCAAAATCTTCTGCCTTGGTAATTATTATGTATTACCCTAACATTATTTATCAGTCTTTTATTTCTGAAGCCCTTGGATGTTCTGTTGATAATTACAAAAGTAGGAGATGCCTGGTGAATGGATTTACCAGTTTTTAAAAATATGAACAGTTATTGAAAGAATATTGAAGGTTGTAACAAAAATAATTAAAAGGTAAATAAGATTAATTGAAACTCTCTGCAGATCAATAAATAAGAATTTACATAGAGAAACTCTGTACCTAGAGTAGAGAACATGCTATGTTGTTTAATTTACTGTATGTTCTATTTTGAAGACTTATAAAAGAATGATGAGGCCAAAATATTAAGAAAAACATGATTTTAATGCAATACTTAAGAACTAGAAAAATCAAAAAGTTCCTAAGTAAAAAACATTATTAGGTAAAGATACACCTTCCAAATTCAAGAAAATTATTAGAGTCAAGACCCTGATGTGAGGAACAAAGGAAGGTTAACATGAAAGAAATTCTCCTGCTATAAGTGTGTTTTTTATTTTGTACTTTTTATGTCACAGTAACTAGTATCTGACAAGTGCTACTTTATATCAAATAAAGTAGTGTACCATGTCTTACTTCTAATGAGTAGCAGTCGGCCCACTTGACACAGATGGATCTAATTGATCCCCGCAAGGGGTTGTCAAAAGACAGAGCTGTTTTTGAATCAACTGAAACCTGTCTTTGTTCCATGTCCTTGGAGTGAACAACAAACTTGAATAATGTCAGCTAAGGAAACATGGGGTATGAGGCATTATCTTTCCTTGTTCTGAAAATGTGTTTACTCACTTAAGAATGAGAGTGAAAATAAGTTGTGAAAACTGAGAATGAAAGTGTAAAATTACTTGACATGTTTAGATATGCTGTTTTGTTTTCCTTTACTTAATTATCTTTTCACAGAGTTATTATGCAAGGTATTAATTTAGGACCTTGGGTATTTTATCATCATCATCTTCATCATCTTCTTCATCATCATCATCATTATCATCACTAAGCACAGCCAAGAACCACAT